TCACTGTGGCAAACTTGGTAAGCGGGGCAAAGATTGATGTTGGAAGTAAGTTAAACACAAAATTAACTGTTTTATTCCCCTTTTGATGTGTGAGTCATATCTCTAATAATTGGCCTCCATATTCGAGGATTTATTATGTTTTTGAATAATACCCAAGGCTTTTACACATACTATGGCAATTGAATTGAATGTAGTACATATATTCAATTGACCTGCATTTTTGAAAAGATGGAAGTGATTAGCTACCAGTTTAGATTGGTTGTATGAATATACATCTGCACCAAGTAGGAAATGTTACAGAAAGTAGGTTGCTCAATGTTTAGGAAAACGAAATAAAAAAACACTTTCTTTCAAATTGAGTAGGTGAACTCTTTATAACAGTATTCATACCATAGTAGATTCAAATGATTAAAACAAAGTCAGAAGAAATTCAGCTTGTGTACGATCGTCTGAAGAAGCGGACCAATCCGCAGGCGTGGACAGTGAATGAACATTGGGATGGACTTTATTTAATAAAGCAACCACGAAAACACCAAAATGACGTTAGTTGAGTCCTCGGTAACACTGAAGAAACATGGAACAAAAACCCACAAACCAAGGAGGAAACCCACACGGTTAAATATGGCTCCCAATCAGAGGATACGAGCCGGACAGATTGACACTCGTTACATACCGGTTGGGAGTCATAGACCAAACATAGAAAAAACAAACCTAGGGGGGGGGGACACCCAAACATAGAAATCACCCAACAATGAAAAATGAACAACCCTGGTCAATAATCAAAGTCCATGAGCCAGAGTTATCACAGTAACCACCCCTAAGGTGCGAAACCCGGGCCGCACAGCCTACAGTCTAGGGGAGGGTCTGGTGTGGGCGTCCGTCCATGGTGGCGGGCTCTGGCCAAGGTCGTGGTCCCCACCCCACCTTAGTCACTATCCGTTCGTAGCCCCCTCCACCTGACACCCCCAACTAAACCCCCACTGGATTGAAGGGCGGCCCGACTAAGGGGCAAGCACCGGAACTAAGGGGCAGCACCGGACTAAGGGCAGCACCGGCTGAGGGGCAGCACCGGACTGATGGCGGATCCTGATGGCTGGCTCTGGAGGATCCTGGCGGACGGCTCTGGCGATCCTGGCTGGACGGCTCTGGCGGAGCCTGGCTGGCGGAAGGCTCTGGCTGATCCTGTCTGGAGGAAGGGCTCTGGCTGATCCTGTCGGCGGAAGGCTCTGGCTGATCCGGTCTGGCAGGAAGGGCCTCTGGCTGATCCGTTGGCGGAAGGCTCTGGTGATCCTGTCTGGCGGAAGGCTCTGGCTGATCCTGTCTGGCGAAGGCTATGGCTGTCCTGTCTGGCGGACGGTCGGGCTGCTCTGGTATGCGGAAAGGCTCTGGCGCGGTCATGTATGGGGAAAGGGGCTCGGGTGCTCCTGGCTGGCGGAGAGCTCTAGCGGCTCCGGTCTGGCGGACGGCTCTGAAGGATCATGGCAGACGGGGGGCTTTGGCAGGATCAGTACAGACGGCAGTTCCTGCGAGCGCTGGCAGTACGGACAGTCAGACGGCGTTGGGCAGACGGGCATTCAGACGGCGTTGGGCAGCGGAACAGTTCAGGCCCAGTTGGGCCGACGGCAGTTCAGGACCCCGTGGGCAGACGGAAAGTTCAGGACGGCGTTGGGCCAGACGGGGCGTTCAGGCGCCGTTGGCCGACGGAAAGTTCAGACGGCGTGAGGGGGCAGAAGGACAGTTTCAGGCCCCGTTGGGCAGACGGCAGAATCTGGCCGTCTGAGGCGCATCGTAGGCCTGGTTCGTGGTGCCGGAAAAGGAGGTGCCGGCTGAGGACACGCATCCAGGGCTATGCGGGGAGAAGAAACAACAGGGCATGCTGGACCCTGGGAAGCACCGTAGGCCATGGATGCGTGTGCCGGCAAACTGGAGGGGTACCGGGCTGAGGGACACGCATCTCAGGGCTAGTGCGGGGAGAAGGAACAGGGCATGCTGGACCCTGGGGACTCACATAATGCTAGCGCGAGAGCCGGAACAGGGCATGCTGGACCCTAGGGGACTCACATAACGCTAGTGCGGAGAGCCGGAAACAGGGCATATGCTGGCCTGGAAGCACTAAGGGGGGGGGCTGTAGTGCGTGAGAGCAGAAACAGGACGCACAGGACTCGGGAGACACACAGGAGGCTTGGGGCGTGGTTGTAGGCACTGGTGGGAAAGGCGCTGGCGACGCGCACCGTATCCTGGTTGCGAGTGGCCGGAAACAGGCCGGGCGAGGCTGGGAAGGCACCGGTCCCTGGTGCGAGTGGCCGGAACAGGCCGGAGCTGGATTGGCGCCAGCGCACCGTATCCCTGGTGCGAGTGGCCGGAACAGGCCGGGCCGGCTGCGAAAAGCGCACCGGATCCCTGGTGCGAGTGGCGGAAAAGGCAGGGCTGGGCTGGCGACGCGGCACCGTTTCCCTGGTTGCGAGTGGCCGAACAGGCCGGGCCGGGTGGAGAAGCGACCGTATCTTGGTGCGAGGGGTTGTAAAAAACGGCCGGACGTTACTGGAGGCCACAACACCAATGCTCTACCCGGGAACGGAACGGGCCCGGACCGGACTGGATACAACCTCAGCTCTTCCGCCGTGCCTCTACATCTCCGTTCCCTACTTTGGCAGTGACCCCCCGTAACATGGTTGCCTCTTGAATTCGCCATGTCTCTGCCTCCGTCCGTCCTGTGGCAGCCTCCGCTGCCCCAGCCGCCAAGCCATGTGCCCCCCCCAAAAAACTTTTTGGGGTTTGCCTCTCGACATTCGACGATTGCCCTGCTGCGCCGTTGCTTCCTCTCGCCATCGCCCTCTCCACCGTTTCGATCCATGGACGGCGATTCATCCCTCGGTCTCATCCCCAAGTCCAGGACCCCTTTCCGGCCAAAATCTCTCCCAGGTCAGAAAGCCTTTGGGCTGGGTCCTGTTGCCGCTTGGCGACACGCTGCTTTGGTCCTTTGATGGTGGGTTTTTCTGTCACGATCGTCTGAAGAAGCGGACCAAAGCAGCGCGTGGAGTGACATGTGACTTTATTTAATAAAGCAACACGAAAAAACAAACAAATGAAGATAGTGAATCCTTGTAACACTGACCGAAACATGGACAAAAACCCCCCACAACCCCAAGGTGAAAACACACAGTATAAAAATATGGCTCCAATCAGAGATAACGAGCCGACAGTGACACTTCGTTACCTCCGATGGAGTCATAGACAAAATAGGAAATAAACACACCTAGACACCCAACATAGAAATACACCCAAACAATGAAAATGAACAACCCTGGCTCAATAATCAAAGTCCATGGAGCCAGAGTATCACAGCGTGCCACATGTGCAGGAGGGGTTTTTGTACCAGCAGTAATAGGGGGATTGTATCACTGTGGTGGACTTGTGGTAGCGGGCACCAGACTAGATGTTGGAAAGGTAAGTAACAAGCTCTTTTGATATTTATTTCAGCTATTTTTTTGTTTGTATTTTCTTTCTTAAACTCGGTGTACGAAAATATTGCGATTTACATATTTTACTTTCTAAAAAATATAGTTATTTCTATTACTTTTGCACGAAGCCTTCTTCAAAATAACATTTTGTTTAACCCAAAATGTTAAAATGTAGGTGTTTTATGTATATGTTGGTTTGATGGATGCAGAGTATAATTCTAGAATGATAACTACTTAATATATTGAGTATAGATGTTTGTTGCATGTGGATTACTGTTGGTGTGCGATTGTTGATCTTTAACTCTCAAATATTTTTTTTTTGGTTAAATAAATTGAGTTTGGAATGAGCTTCTTTCAAAGATATTTATGGAATCAAAAAATGATAAAGTGTAGGATTTTTTGAGGTCCTGATTGGATATTTCCGAATTCTGATATAACAACTATTTAATAGTATAGTATATAGTATCATCATTGTTGAATGTGTATGGTTAGACTCACTGTTAGTGTGAAGACAAAGGGTATCAGTTATGGTTTGTAACCTACTTATGATGGAACATGGTTGGTTGGATGAATAACTATGATATGGGAAGGCTATTTGATCAGATCCATTCTAAACAATATCTGTTATGACATGTGTAACTGACACCCCCTATGAATAGTTAACTCTAGTTATTTAACCAACTTTAAACTGGGTTGGTTCATAAATCTGCTTGATCGTATGTTACTTAGTGTTTTTCCACATCTTTTAAACTATATAAACTTCTACATTCTATTTAGAGGTCCACTTTATTTTGAAGAGACTTTGCTGAAGATAATATCTACTGTAGCTGTACTTGATGTAGT